GGGGCCGAGGGCGCTGCAGCAGACGATGGGGCCGAGGGCGCTGCAGCTAGAGGCTTTAGAATCACCAGGATCTTGAGACTCAACTCACCAGAGCAGTAGCAGATGCTGGATCTGAGACAGGTGGGGAGTCATGGCCAAAATTCCACAAAGACACAGGAAGGTGGAGCGTTCTCACTGACCCCCATGGAGACACAGAGATGTGAGGTATTGTTGTCTAACCATTCAGACACAGGAGGATGAGTAGCCTTGTCTTCTATCCTCATAGAGGCCAAGTGTCAAGAAGGCTCAGGAGGAGAGTGGGACACTGAAGGGTTGGGGGTGTGGGAGCTGCTCTCTGCCCAGCAGACTTGGGACTCGTGGCAGATGCTGAGTGTTTTTCCAAGTTGAAAGTTCTGTGATGGAGTTAAATTCAAAGCAGTCTGCTCATCAGATAAATAGTGTTAACTTGTTTTTTATATGCATGAATGTTTCTGTTCAGTTCCTCGAGGCGACTTCTGTTGTGACTTGGCGCTATATAAATAAACTGAATTGAATTGTAGCACGGTGATGCAGTTTGTAGAGCTGCTGCCTCGCAGTGGGCAGGTTACCTGGTTCAAATCCTGGTCCGGGGGCCTTTGTAAATGGAGTTTGCATGTTCTCTTCATTCATGCATGGACTTTCTCCAGGTACTCCAGTTTCCTCCCACAGACCAAAAACATGCATGTTAGGCTGAATGGTAACTCTGTCTCTAGGTGAGAGTGAAAGAGTGAATGGTCGTTTGACTCTGTGTCCCTGTGATGAACTTGCGACCTGTCCAAGGTGTCCCCCGCCTCTTGCACAGTGACTGCTGGATATGGGCACCACTGACCCTTGCGACTCAAAAAGGAAGGAGCGGGTAAAGATAATGTATGGATGAATAGAAACTTGCATTAAAAAAAATCCATGTTGGTGTCCTTTTCTTTTTCAGACATATTCAGGACTGTTCTGTGTAGTGGTGAATCCTTACAAGAACCTACCAATCTACACAGAGTCCATTGTAGACATGTACAGAGGCAAGAAACGCCACGAGATGCCCCCGCACATCTATGCCATATCTGAGGCGGCCTATCGCAGCATGTTGCAAGGTAATCAACACTAATCAACCTGTGAATGACCCCAAGCCTGTAACTATCTCCAACATCTCATATCAGCCCAGTTTGGTGCTCAGTGAGTTCTGTGATCTTTGCTCGCTAAGCCTTGTCACGAATACTTTTAGAAGGCGTGTCATTTTCCCAACGCGTGGTTGTTATCAAACGCACTAAAAGTGAGAACGAAAAGACAGCACTGCATTTTCACAACTGAGATTTGTAGACACGACACTCCTTGAAACAAAACTCACATCCAGTGATGTAATTGTACATTTAATGTGTGAGTCATATGCTTGTACCAACACATGATGGGTATTTCTTATTAGTGCCCTGCCTGTCAGGCTGACTTCATGAAATGAGACACCCAAAGTTCCCAGCCAACATTTTGGAAGCAGTTTAAGGTAGATTGTGCAACGTTTCTGCCTCTGCGTGTCTATCTGAAATAATAAGGCAGGACCAATGAGGCTGTGTCTTCAGCTGCCATCCCTGAGGGGGCTCAGCAATGGCAACGACGTAGGTGTGTAACCACAGTGATTCAACCTGTAGGACCAGTATGAATTCTTTCTAACTGAATGCGTGAGAATCTGAAAAGGCAAATACCACCAGCATTACAAACTGTGTCCACCCATTGACTTCTACCATTGTGGGGTTTGGAAGCCTGGCGAAACCAGTTAGTGTTGACCAGCTTCTTTCTTCCCGTAATAATTAATGCATGTGTGACAGAACAGTCATAGGTTTGTAAGCCCGTTTATGGTCATGGTTAAAAGTACTTTCCCTTTCATTTGTAAGGTTTAATGCATCAGGAGGGAAAAAAAACAGCAAATTATTTTCTTACCAGGCTGTAAATAAGTTCAAAACCACCTCTGATGAAGACCAACACAACTATACTGCAGTCTTTCTTTACCAAAGCTAAAATCCAGAAGCAGTGTCTGAAAAACACTTGGGTCAAACATGGAGTCTTATGATGTTTTTCTCTTCTGCAGACAGAGAAGATCAGTCAATCCTCTGCACGTGAGTAACGTACACTGAGCCGCCTGTGTGTTTGTTGGTAACGCTTTCTCTTTTGGAATTAGGAGCATTTCTGTTAGCCTCACACTGTCAGCTTGGGAGTGCCCCTAAAAAGTGTTGAGTGTTTGATTCACTCTCATTTGTCACTAATAGGACCAACATGCATTTATTTTTCTATATGATTTTTTACAACAATTTGGACCAGTTCAAGATGTTTTGATTTACTTCATAAATTTTTACTGTTGTCATCGCCCTCTGCCAAAGGCAAAGGTGGAGCGATGGTGTTTTTGGCCATGTGAGTGCATGCACCAGTATTCATTTGTCTGTACCATTAGAGAAATGTTTCATGAATCACTGAACAGTTTTTAATTAAACTAACTTTCTGATAGTAATTGTTAATGTACATCTACAATCGATTAGGTTGTGGAGTCAAACCAATGCAAGATGGCCACCACAGCCATCTGTACTTAAATGACACAAAACTTACTAAAGCTCAAATAATTTTACATATATTGAGTTTAATGATCAACTTATACACTGAACGCTTACTGATCACATGAGATATGCGTTAAAATTTTTAATACTAGCTATTGGAATCAACTCCGGTTGTTTGCAAACTGTCTGGTGATGTGCGTCAATGGACTTGCACCTTCGGTTTATTGACTCTTGGATTCAAAACAATTCAAGATGACCGCCACAGCCAGCTGTTCTTAGAAAACACTAAAATAACTAGAAATTGGTCCATTTAACAAATACTGAGCCAAAATTTGGTTTGATCCTTCACAACATCCACTCCAAGTGTTACCAGATCATGCAAGCTATCATGAATATGTACATAATGGATTTTTTTTAGGTTTGTCCAAAATATCTCTATTTTCAACACAAGATGATGTAAAAAACACTGGCATACAGGTGAAATGCTTTACTTCAAGGATTAAGCCTTAAAATGTTTATTGTCCCCTAAAAGTAATATCAAAGGCATCTATTTAAATTTTTTTATTTGATCTGACTTAAGTCTGTGTAAAATATGTAAAGAACAACTCAAAAAGCATTTTACCAGACATGATGAAAAAGTCAGAGTTCAACCTTTCTGCTGCTGCCGGCTGTCTACACTCATCATTTGTCTGTGTTCATACTTTCCTGTAGACTTGTCCTTCATGTCTTCCTGTCATTGTCATTACTGCAACTATTTTTACTCATTTTTCTTTCATCATGCTCCAAAACCAACACCAACACATCATTCTCCTCACCTGCTTGGTGTTTAGACTTGTGGCTTATTGTGCACCACGTTGTCTTTGTATGATGAATGTGTGTTTAGCCACTTGTTCCTGTGTGTGTTCTTGCCCTCTAAAATCCCCATACATTTTAAGGTTGATCATTTTGATCCTTTATTGAGTGTCTTTGTGCACTTGACAAAGATTGTGTCTCTTACAGAGGCGAGTCTGGAGCTGGGAAAACTGAGAACACTAAGAAAGTCATCCAGTATTTGGCTCATGTTGCCTCCTCACATAAAGGTGGCGCTTTGGGTAAAAACAAGGAACCTGTGCAGGTATGTTAGAGAAGAGGTCACTAAAAATGTTTAGAGTTGGGGGTTTGATTCCACCAGCAGTCACATGCTGAAGTGTCCTTGGGCAAGACACTGAACCTCTCATTGCCTCTGATGTGTGTCCCATCGGTGTATGGATGTGATCTAAAAGCACTGATTAGTCTTTGTACAGATCTAGTAGAGTGCTGTATGAATGGGTAAATGAGGACACAGATTGTAGTGTAAAATGTTTTGAGTATCTCAGTAAGAAAGGTGCTGTATAAGTACAGTTCATTTACCAATATTATAATTTTGTCTGTGCACGACAAAACTTTTAAGAATCAGTCCTAAGGTTCTGCTTTACAGGAGGTTAAAAAAACATCCCACAAGTTATCTTTAGCTTTTAATTCTCTAAAATTCACATTTTTTCCTCTAACAATGTCGGATTTCAGTTTATTTCATTCTAACGTTCAGTTTTGTTTTAAGTTGGGTGTTCTGTATATATAGCTCTAAGTGGGGTTCCTCTGTTTTTTCTTTTTCTACGTTCCCATTTTATTATTTCTTGCCAATCTGCCATTCTGCCCTTTTCCTCCTTCATTTTCCTCTTTCTGCACCGTCCTCTTCAGATGGATGGGTGTAGGTCCTTAACAAGAGGCAGCACTCTTGCGAATAAGGTGAGTTAACTCTGCTTTGCTGTCCTATTTTCTGCCTACTGAACCCCACAACGAGCCTTACTAACGCAGCGTAATAATAATACCCTTACTGTCTCTACTGATGTTGCTCCTCGTTAACTGTGAAGTTTTGTGCTGTATATTTAACATTTACATAACCTTTGTTGTTGTTGTGATTGTTTTCTTATTGGTCTTCTTGTTTTTATCCCACTCATACCTTCACCTGTCTGTAACCCTTCCTCCCATCAAAAACGTCATTTGTTTCAACAATTCTCCAGAGTTTACAATATGTGAGTATAAAAGTATTTAGAATATTTGGTGGTTACTTATGGGGAAATCATTTTCTTTAGAATATTTACTGCACACCTCTTTAAAAAATTGAGAATCATATCTTTGGTGTGTTTTTTTTTTTACTTCTATCTGAACAAGTCGTGGTACTCTGGGGCTCTAGCTTTTCATTTGTTGTTTTATTTTTCTGGTGCAGTGGGCTTAGGGTTGGCTTCTCTTCACAATGGCTTCTGAAAGCCACAGAAACACTTTGAAGGATGTCTGCCTAAAACTGGTGGCTTTAACATCTGTATAGTGCATGTGTTTACTGATGAATAGTTGCAGATTCAAATCCGTGTGAATGAGTGGAGTGAAATAAATATATTTCCTATTTGGTTTTGTCTGCTTTGTGTTTCATCACTATAAAACTGCTCACCTCTTAATTTCTGTTTGTCCGCCTTCACTGATGACTGCCCAGCACTTTTATTTATATATATATATATACATTGATGCTGTTGATGCTCATCTTTTGTTAATGCTGCTGTATCGACATCTGCAAAGGCAACACGACTACTGCAGTCATGCATGGCAGCAGCTTAGTGAAATCTGCAGGAGTGTAGCTCGTGTAGCAAAGCTGCAGCCTAACAATGATTCCCAACCAAGTCTTTATTTGTATACCAAAAAAGCCCTAAAATTTTAATAAAACAGAAAATATTTTTATAAGTTTAGCATCGATGATGCAGCGGTCGTGTTTTTCGGCCTGGAAATGTTTCCTGCAAAATCTGTTTAGTGTTATAAAATGCATCACTTTGTGAAATTGCACTTCAGCAATGAGTTACCGATATGCATTATATTTTGTGTTTTACATATATCGTTAATGAAAAGGGTAAATTTTGGTTATACACCCTATTCTCTTTGATTCTAGCTGTTATTGTGAACCTGATTGAACCTTCTTGTGTCTCAGGGTGAGCTGGAGAGGCAGCTGCTGCAGGCCAACCCAATCCTGGAGGCCTTTGGCAATGCAAAGACTGTTAAGAACGACAACTCATCGAGATTTGTAAGAGCCTTTCACTGGAAATACTGGAAAAGACTCATAATGAGAGGTTGAAGTTTCTTAAACCTTAACTCTCCACTCTTTCCTTTTTTCAGGGTAAATTCATCCGCATTAATTTTGACGTGGCTGGATATATTGTTGGTGCCAACATTGAGACCTGTATCCTGTCATGCTTCATTTGTAAATGTATACATAATTTGTATGCTATATAGGAAATTTTTGTTGTTAGTTTTCATAACCACAAAAATTCAGACCTCCTTGAAAAGTCCCGAGCCATCCGTCAGGCCAAAGATGAGAGGACCTTTCACATCTTTTACCAGTTATTATGTGGTGCTTCAGCGGAAACTAGAGGTGAGAAGAAGTAAATAAATGCCAGTTTAGTTTAAATACAACACATTTTGTGTGTTTTAAATGTTCTTGTTTTATCTTTCTTAGCGGACTTGCTTCTTGGAAGTGCTGATGAATATCGTTTCCTCACTAGAGGCTCCATCTCTGTCCCTGGTCAGAGTGATTCAGAGAATTTCACCCAGACTATGGACTCCATGGCCATAATGGGCTTCACCCCTGAGGAGTCAGTGTGTAAGAGAGGATGAAAGAAACTGAGAAAGAAAAAACTCAGCATATTTGGTTCTGACTGTAAATAATGTCTACTATGCCCTTTTCCTGTCTCTCAGCCATGTTGAAGGTGATCTCTGCTGTGCTCCAGTTCGGAAACATATCCTTCATGAAGGAGAAGAACCACGACCAGGCATCTATGCCTGATAACACAGCCGCTCAGAAACTGTGCCATCTACTGTGCATCAACGTGCTGGAGTTCACCCGCGCCATCCTCACGCCGAGGATCAAAGTGGGGAGAGAGTATGTGCAGAAGGCCCAAACGAAAGAACAAGTAGGATTTATTTCAAGACATTTGTGTCCATACAGATGAACAGAAACAAGAACACTTTCAGATTAATTACAGGATGTGTGTATATATTGTCTTCTAGGCTGACTTTGCCATTGAGGCTTTGGCGAAGGCGACTTATGAGCGTCTCTTCAGATGGCTGGTTCACAGGATCAACAGAGCTCTGGACCGCCGACAGAGACAGGGAGCTTCTTTCATAGGCATCCTTGATATCGCTGGATTTGAGATTTTCCAGGTGAGTTTGTTTCTTTATAGTTTGATTGTAGAATACACTATTTGAACAAAGATATTTGGGCACACCTGACCATCACACCAACATAAACTATATGGATCCCTTTTACTTTTCTCTGAATGCTTTCTACAATATTTTTGAGTGTTTCTGTGGGAGTTTGTGCACATTAATTCTGTAGAGCAGTTATGAGGTCAGGATCTGATGTTGAATGAGAAGATCTCCATTCCAGTTCATCTCTGTAAGGTGCTCAGTCGTGCTGAGGTCAGGTCTCACTGCGGGCTATTGAAGTTCTTTCACACTGAACTTGCTGAACCGTGTCTTTACAGATCTTGTTTTGTACATTGGTGACAGCCATGTTGGAACAGAAAAGGGCCTTCTTCACTGTTTTTTATTTAATTAATTACTTCTATAGCACTTTACACAACCATGGTGATGGTGACCAAAGTGCTTAACAAAAAAAAGATGAAGTCAAAAATGTTGTGGTATGCTGAAGTATTAAGACTGCACATCACTGGAGATAGGCAGCACAGTGGCACAACTGCTGCTGCCTCTCAGCGAGCAGGTCCTTGGCTCAAACCCCAGTCCGGGGGCCTTTCTGGGTGGAGTTTGCATGTTCTCTCCGTGCATGCGTGGGTTTTCTCCGGGTACTCTGGTTTCCTCCGACAGACCAAAAACATGCATGTTAGGCTGATTGGTAACTCTAAATTGTCCCTAGGTGTGAATGAGAGAGTGAATGGTTGTTTGTCTCTGTGTGGCCCTGTGATGGACTTGCGACCCGTCCAGGGTGTACCCCGCCCCTCGCACAGTGATTGCTGGACATGGGCACCAGCGACCCCCGTGACCCAAAATGGAATAAGCGGGTAAAGATAATGGATGGGTGGATGGATCACTGGAGATAATGAGCCAGTCCCAAACCCTGACTAAACACCTGAATTCAACAAACAACAGATGAAGCCAAACACTTTTGTCTGAATAATGTTTATCATAAATGGTGCTAGAAGATGTCTATGTGCCCCAGATTTTTTCTGTTTGAGATAAAATAATAATTAACTGTTAACAGGACATTTCAAATTAGATTTTTTTTTCTAACCGACAGTCTTCGTTTAATTATGCAAACGGGCGGGCTTTTCATAAATTACATTAATGATTTATTTCTTTTTTTAAATCTCGCCTCTGCAGCTGAACTCCTTTGAGCAGCTGTGCATCAACTACACCAACGAGAAGCTGCAGCAGCTGTTCAACCACACCATGTTCATCCTGGAACAGGAGGAGTACCAGAGGGAGGGCATCGAGTGGAACTTTATTGACTTTGGCCTGGACCTACAACCTTGCATTGACCTCATCGAGAGACCAGTACATACCACACGCTAAAATACACTCTTCTCAAGTGATGAGAATATAGATAATCAAATTCTGGGCAAGACAAAAATTCTCCTTCTTTCCAGGCCCATCCACCAGGTGTTTTGGCCCTGCTGGATGAAGAGTGCTGGTTCCCTCGAGCCACAGACCGCACGTTTGTGGATAAGCTTTCTGCTGAGCAAAGCAAGCATCCTAAATTCTTCAAATCAAAGCAACCGCGTGGAGAAGCTGACTTCTCTATTATTCACTATGCTGGAAAGGTATTCCTTTTTCTTTTACCTCTTAACATATGTTTCATATTTCCTTAATACAAATCTTGCAGCTTATCTTTTTGTCTTCATTGTTTACCATCCTCTCCCACAGGTGGACTATAAGGCAGATGACTGGTTGGTGAAGAACATGGATCCTCTGAATGACAATGTGGCGTCTCTTCTCCATCAGTCATCTGATCACTTTGTGTCTGAGCTGTGGAAGGAGGGTGAGAGAACTGGAGTCGTCATTACGCTTTCAGACTCGCAGTGATTGAATATTTATAATGTTCAGTTTTACATTTTATGAAAACATTTTGTGACAACAGAAAGATGTTTCAGCATTGATTTGCTAAGTGTGATTCATGAATCAATTTTCTGGTGTAAAATGTATTAACTTTGCTGCACTTCTTTTTCTTCTCCCTCTTTGTCGTTTTGTCTTTGCTTTCTGCTCTCTTTTTCCTCTGTTCTTCCTCCCTCTTGTTTTCTACCTGTTGGCTCTTTCCTTTTTTACCCCTTTGCACTAATACGGTGCTCACTTGAGCCTCTCCTTTTCTATCCCCCTGATCTTGATATTCCCTGCATCAGATATTCAAACTCTTCCTCGTGTGTACTTCTTTGACTCCTATGCCACACTACAGACTAATGGCTCCGACAGTAGGTTTATTTCTACCTTCCTCACGCTCACTTTGGTTTACTTACTTTTGATTTGTGCCTGCACTGTTTGTGAATAAGGTGTGGTTTTTATTGTCCGTTTCCTTTTTTACTTCCGGGTCTTTGTATTGTCACTGTTACTGTGTTGCTCTGCTGTTTCCTAATTGTTCTTTTAACTAGATTTGGTTTTAAAGAAGAGTGATGTGATTGTTTGATCATGCTTTTGCATTTAGACAGAAGTAGATCCTCACTTTTGTTTTGTAGAAACGGAAACATGTCGGAGTGAGAGTCTGTTCTCAAAAAGCCTCGAGCAAAATTCAGGATCAATTTAAGTGTTTTGCTTGAAGATAGAGACACAAACAATAGAAGATACAAGATTTGTTAGGATAATTCAACATTTGGTTAGGATCAGCAGTTAAAGAAGTAATCTGGTTTGAAGGCATCTTTCAATAAATTCTTCAGCTGTAGTGAAAACTGAACAAAACCCACCAGCCAGCCAGAAATTTGATCCTGAATTTACACCCTAGACACATTTTAGTTGCATTTGTTGCAAAAATAAAAGGTTTTACTTTTTATTGCAACATTTTTACGTTTTTTTGAATTATTGTTAAATTTATAGTTAACATAAAATAAATAAACTTAGTATAAATGAACAGGAAAATGAAATGCAGCTGGTTCTGCTGGGCTTGCATCTGATGGTGCAGAGCTGCTGTGGAATAACGCCATATAATACCTGAACAAGATGATGGTATTCAGCTCTGTCATTTTCTGTGTTCTGCACTTTGTAGTAGAATAATGAACAAGCAGTGACCACAAATAGACCAGTTACTCATTATTTACCACTGTTTAAATTCCACACATTGCTTGTTGTAGCCACAACAAAATCATGCAAAAAATATCATAAATCACTCTGGTCCCTTCAGTCCAACTTGACACGCCTGTCAGAACTTGTCTAAAGCTAACAGGTTAATCTTGAAAGGCTTTCTTAACAACAAGCCCTGTGTGTATCTTACCAGCTGCACAAATACACACTGTTGTTAGACTTTGAAACCATTTGAGCTCCAAATCCATCTGATTTGTTACTATTTGTGCATCAATCATTGATGTCTGTTGTAAAATAAAGATGCTATCTCATTTACACAAACAGAAAATCTCTAACCACGACTTGACAAATGTATATTACCCCATCAAACTGATGTTTACTGATCAAACTGAGACTGTTTGTTCTGCTCCCGTTCAGTGGACAGGATTGTGGGTTTGGACCAGGTGTCATCAGGAGAGAGCAGTGGGCCCGTCACTTTTGGATCAGGACTGAAAACAAAGAAGGGAATGTTTCGAACTGTTGGTCAACTCTACAAAGAGTCTCTCACCAAGCTGATGGCCACGCTGAGGAACACCAACCCCAACTTCCTTCGATGCATTATCCCCAATCACGAGAAGAGGGTGAGACCAAGACTTCTGGATGAGAAGATAAAGGAGAAGAATTGATCAAATTAAGACAAAGAAACTGTTCTGACTCCGTCTTCTTTTTTGCTTCCTTCCATTCTTCCTTTTTCACAGGCTGGTAAATTAGAACCTCAACTTGTTTTGGACCAGCTGAGATGTAACGGTGTTCTGGAGGGAATCCGTATCTGCAGACAGGGATTCCCCAACCGCATTCCTTTCCAGGAATTCAGACAGAGGTAAGCATTTGTGATCACCTTCTTCAAACTATCTCGGACACCAAATCTTTTCCTTCACTTTATGAAGTCTTACATTTGTCTTGCAGATATGAGATTCTCACTCCCAATGCTATACCTCGCACTTTTATGGATGGCAAACAGGCCTCAGAGCTCATGGTAGAGAACTTGTCAGAATCTAAATGTCTCAAGCAAGTGTGGGATCAGGTGACTGACAATGACTTCTCTCTCCACTCAGATCAGAGCTTTGGAACTGGATCCCAACCTGTTCAGGGTGGGTCAGAGTAAAGTCTTCTTCAGAGCTGGAGTCCTGGCTCATCTGGAGGAGGAGAGAGACCTGAAGATCACCGACACCATCATACACTTCCAGAGCGCTGCCAGGGGATTTCTTGCACGCAAGTAAGACTTTGCTTTAGCAATGAGGTTGTCATAAATGGAGAATACTGAGTTTTAAAGATTGACATTAGATTATCAATATCCAGATGTGTAGTACAGGAAACCATGGTATTTTATAGAATTATGTTTTTGTTGACTTGTAGACTTTACATCATCAATTTAGTTATCGCCTGCTGCTTAGAACAATGGGCGATCATGTCTGTGATTTTACCTGTATGTGTGTGTGTTTTAGCAAATATCTCATGAGCCAGTTGAAGGATTTTAATGAAACAATAAAAGTTATCATTGGATGTACATCTAGTGCTGATAATCATTTAGTGTCGAGAAGGCTGCCACAACTAATAACCATTTTTTGCGTTTGCCAAGGTTCATAACTCAGTTTTACAGGTATTTAGCTATAATTTGATGTGGTAGTAGCTGAGAGTTATTCTCAATATACATTTCAATATTTCATTTCATTTACCTGTCTAAGTAAAGGTTGAATGAATACGCATTTCTTTAAGGAATGCTAGTTTTGAACTTATTTTTGTGTTTAGGGGTGTGGTGCACTGTTCTGAATTGAGATTTGTGAGTTTGTTGATTGGTTGTGGGGTTTTTTTTTTCACCGCAGAGCCTTTTTGAAGAAGCAGCAGCAAATGAGTGCTCTGAGGGTGATGCAGAGGAACTGTTATGCTTACCTCAAACTCAGAAACTGGCAGTGGTGGCGACTGTTCACTAAGGTGCGCATGAGTATAATTACCTTTCAGCACTTTTCAAATCTTTGCTGGTTGTCTTTGCTGATTGCTAAAAATCAAATTATGATTTAATGCTTGGTCTTTGTTTTGTGCCAACCAGGTGAAGCCTTTACTTCAGGTGACTCGACAGGATGAGGAGATTCAGGCCAGAGAGTCTGCGCTCCTTAAGGCCAGTGAGAAGCTCACCAAAATGGAACAGGAATTCACTGATCTGGACAAGAAACATGCTCAAGTAAATTAAGCTTGTTTTGTTTTGCTGCCTATCTCCTTATTTTTAATCTTTTTTTATTTATTATTACTCTGAATCACATCACACTTCTGACTCTCTCTGTCGTCTTCAGCTGGTTGAAGAAAAGACGCTGCTAGCTGACCAGCTGCAGGCGGAGGCAGAGCTGTTTGCAGAGGCAGAGGAGATGAGGGCCAGTTTAGCAAATCGGAAGCAGGAGCTGGAGGAAGTTCTGAGCGAGATGGAGAGTCGACTGGTGGAGGAGGAGGAGAGGGGTACGCAGCTGGCCAACGAGAAGAAGAGGATGCAGCAGAACATACAAGTGAGGAAGAAGCTGTCCTTTTAAAGTTTGGGATTTTACTTTTAAGTTGGTACAGAATGTGGATTTATGGCTTGATACGTTTACTACCCCCAAAAAAATTTACCACCTACAAATGTGTCGTCGACAACATGCTCATGACAAAGGGGTTAAATAAACACTTGTGGGGGGATTTCAGGACCTTGAAGAACAGCTCGAGGAGGAAGAAAGTGCCAAACAGCGCCTCCTTCTTGAGAAGGTTAGCTTGGAGACCAAGGTGAAGAGTCTGGAGACTGAACTCCTGACTGCTGTGGAACAGAGAGACCGGCTCACCAAGGTGGACTTCACATTAAAACTTTGACAATTTTGCATCTGTTTTACACAAGTTTTTAACATAAGTCTTGGTTTTCTCTGAACAGGAAAAAAAGCTGCTGGATGAGCATCTGAGTGAGGTGACAGATCAAGTGACTGAGGAGGAAGAGAAGACCAAAAGCCTCAATAAACTTAAGAACAAACAGGAGGCTGTCATAGCTGACCTAGAGGGTAAGACTTTGACTCAACACTGTCTGTTATTCTTGCCTTTCTAGTTATAAACTGACTGGTGAATCAAGAACTCTGCATTTGCCTTGCCCATTAAATCTGAAAAAGATGCACTGAAGACTGACTTTAATTTGCATAATAATAATAATAATCACACTCATAAATAAATATAGGCTGGTTTGCTTTAAAAAAAAAAAAAAAAAACTTAATATCTATGATTTTATATCCATACTTCTCACTTGATTTGTTTCCAAAACAAGTTTATGACTTAAGCCACCTGATTTAAAATCCTCTTAAATATAACTTGTCTTTCGTGGATCATTTAATAGAGACTAGCCCATACATTATGTTTTTTTAGAGCATGTTTACTTTGTGTTAACTAAAAAGTTAGTATCACTTTGTTTCCATTGCTGCTTGCAGAGCGTCTGAAGCGTGAGGAGCAGGGTCGCTTAGAGCAGGAGAAGTGGAAGAGGAGGATGGAGAATGAGTCACTGGAGGCTCAGGAGCAGCTGTCGGACCTGGGCATGCTGTCTGCCGAGTTGAGGGGAACTCTGGCTCAAAGGGAGAAGGAAATAACCACCTTGCAGGGCCGGTGGGTCTCGGATGAAAAATGATCAAATAAAACAATGGGAGAGATTTTTATTTATTTATTATTATTTCTATTTTATTAATTTGGCATTGTTTTTTACTCTGTCAGGTTGGAGGAAGAAGGTGCACGTCGTGCTGAAGCACAGAGGGCTTTGAGGGAGGCCTTGTCTCAAGTGTCAGAGCTGAAGGAGGAAGTGGAGAATGAACGAGGGATGAGAGAAAGAGCTGAGAAACAAAAACGAGACCTTGGAGAGGAGCTGGAAGCTCTGAGAACGGAGCTGGAGGACACCCTTGACACCACCGCTGCACAGCAAGAACTAAGGCAGATATAGAACAAATCAAACTTGGGCTTTTTGTGTCAAAAGGTTTAATATAACTTTATTAATATTGACTATTTTCACCTAATTCACAAAGGTCTCGCCGGGAGACTGAGTTAACTGAGCTGCAGCGAGCTGTTGAAGAGGAGACTCGTCGCCACGAGGTCCAGCTGTCGGAGCTCAGAGTGAAGCACAGCGCTGCCATAGACAACCTCCAGGAGCAGCTGGATAACAGCAAGAGAGTACGACACACACTTTACACACACATTCAGGTAAAAGTGCACTGTTACTCATTGTACATCTCTTTTAGTCTCGCCAGTCTCTTGAAAAGGCCAAAGCTATGCTGGAAGAAGAAAGGCAGAATCTGACAGATGAAATCAAAAGCCTCCAGTCGAGCCGCACGGACAGCGAGAGGGGCCGTAAGCGAGCAGAAAATCAGCTCCAGGAGCTCAACGCTCGTCTAGCTCAGGCCGAGAGAGAGAGGGAGGACAGGGAGGAGCGAGTGCACAAGCTGCAGGTGCAGTTTATATTCACTGTTAATCCTAACTCTGTTTGTTCAAACAACTGTTTTGTTTAGGCAGCAGTAATAATATATTCCACTTTTTTTACTCTTGTAGTGTGAAATCGAGTCTCTCTCCACCAGTTTATCCTCCTCTGACAGCAAAACTCTTCGTCTTTCTAAAGAAGCCAACAACCTGGAAAGCCAGCTGCATGATGCAAAGGTATAGCACACTCGGACACCAAGGATTATTTCAGGTGTAACTTTAGGGTTAAGCTGTTGGACAGCGGGAACTTCTGTATAGTTTCTGGAGAATCCTGATAAAAACACCTGAGCTCTGTCACCAGACCATTGTTTTACTTTTTCAGGAACTGCTGCAAGATGAAACTCGTCAGAAGATGACCCTGGCCTCAAGGGTCCGAGCTCTGGAGGAGGAGAAGAACGGACTGATGGAAAGGCTTGAGGAGGAGGAGGAACGAGCCAAAGAGCTGGCCCGTCAGATACAAACACTCACCCAGCAGGTGAATCAGCAGCCCACTCAGACTTTGCAAAAGTGTTGCTTCCTCTTACTTTCATAGACTTCAGCCAACTTTATTCTAATCAAACTACAAAAAATAGAAGATATACAAATAGTCATAAATTGAACGCAGACTAAAGTTGAAAATGTACAGGTTGCAAAATCGCTGCATGAAGTTTCAGTCAAAACAGCATTTGTCTCTGTTCAACATGTGCAGCTCGCAGAGCTTCGAAAGCAGTCGGAGGAGGTGAGCTCAGCTGTGGAAACTGGAGAGGAGGTGCGCAGGAAGCTGCAGAGAGAGCTGGACAGCACCATTCAAAAAGAGCGACAGAAGGAGGAGGAGAAGGAGCGAGTGGAGAGGCAGAGGGAGCGACTGAGGGAGGAGCTGGAGGACATGACAATCGCCCTGCAAAGAGAGAGGCAGAACTGTACATCTCTCGAAAAGAGGCAGAAGAAATTTGACCAGGTGAGGGAAACAGGAGTCTGCTCGTTCACACAGGCGGAGATTGTTTCAACGTTTTTATATGGATTTTCATTTTGTAATTTTATCTTCATCGCACTGTCAGTCCCTGGCAGAGGAGAAGGCGGTGAGCGCCCGTCTAGCTGAGGAGAGGGACAAAGCAGAAGCAGAGAGCCGAGAGAAAGAAACAAGATGTCTGTCGTTGACGCGATCCTTGCAGGTAAAGTATCCAACAGAGAAAGTGAATGTTTGTCATGTATTTGTGATTCTGGTTGTTCATCTTCCGTTTTTCTGCCCGCAGGAAGTCCAGGACCAGCGAGACGAGCTGGAAAGGATCAACAAGCAGCTCCGTCTGGAAATGGAGCAGCTTGTGAACCAGCAGGATGACGTTGGCAAAAATGTATAAATCTACCTCATGGAAGCTTTTATTTATTTATTTTTATCCGTGCGTCAAATCTTTTCATTTGCTTCTGCTTTAGGTGCATGAGCTCGAGCGGACCCGGAGGGTGTTGGAGGCAGAAGCTCAGAGCTTGCGAACTCAAACTCAGGAGTTGGAGGAGGAGCTGACGGAGGCGGAGGACTCGAGGCTCAGGCTGGAGGTCACCCTGCAGGCGCTCAAAGCTCAGTTTGAGAGGGAGCTTGGCGCCAACGAGGAGAAGGGAGAAGAGAAGAGGAGGGCCCTCAGCAAGCAGGTGAAGAGGATGAAGAGGAGAGAACTGGCGCCACTTTTTGTTCCTTCAAATTATTCAGATTATTTTTTGTCCTATTAACTTCCCCAGGTGAGAGAATTGGAGATCCACTTGGAGGAGGAGAGGACTCAGCGGTCTCAGGCTGCGTCGTCCAAGAAGCAGATGGAAGCAGAGCTACAGGAGTCTGAGGCCCATTTGGAGGCAGCCACTCGTGGCAAAGAGGAGGCTGTTAAGCATCTACGGAGGCTACAGGTTGAAATCCACTCCTACATAAACTCACTGTATGTACACATCAGCACACATGATTTTAAAACATCCCTTCAATGCCTCACAGGGTCAAATGAAGGAAGTTCTCCGTGAACTAGACGAGACCAAGTTATCTCGAGAGGAGGTGGTTTCACAGTTTAAAGACAGTGAAAAGAAAATGCAGACACTAGAAGCAGAGGTGCTGCACCTCACTGAGGTATGTCGGTTTGTAAATGTTTTCTTATAAACTTAAAATTCTTTAGAGTCATAACAGGGCTGTGTTTGTTTGACTCCACTGCCTTCGTATTTGTCTTTGTTCAGGAGCTGGCCGTATCAGAGAGGCAGAAGAAGCAGGCTCAGCTGGAGAGGGATGAGTTGGCAGAGGAGATGGTCAACAACAGCTCTGGAAAGTGAGCGTCTTTCATCTTTTATGTTTAAGTTCCTTTAGTTGTATTTCTGTATTTGTACTACTAACATTTCATGTTTGTCCAGGAACGTGATGTTTGAGGAGAAGCGACGGTTAGAGGCTCGAATCACTCAACTGGAGGAAGATCTGGAGGAGGAGCAGACAAACATCGAACTGCTGACAGAGAGACATAGGAAGGCGGTTCTACAGGTGTGGTAGATGCACGCGCACACGAAGGCACCTCAAAGTCTCACTGTTTTTAAAAACAATCCTATGATTGTGATTGTTCATCGCTGCTTCACTCGCTGCAGGTGGAGACTCTGACTGTGCAGCTGCAGGGAGAGAGGACTTTGGCCCAGAAGGCGGAGGTGTCTCGAGAGCAGCTGGAGAGGCAGAACAAGGAGCTGAAGACCCGGCTGGAGGAGCTGGAGGGAACAGTCAGAGGAAAACACAAGCTCAGTGTCGCTGCCCTGGAGGCTAAGATTGACTCGATGGAAGAGCAGCTGGAACAAGAGAGACAGTGAGGAACACGTTTTTATTTAGAAGGCTACACTATATGTTAAATTAATAAAATATTTGAGGTACTTAAATTCAGATCATTTTCTAAAATTATTTAGAGTTGTCAAAAATCTTAAGTTTTCTAACACGAAAAAGCTATTTTCTAGGTGTGTTAATCACCAAATTTTCATCAGATTCACCACTTTTTCAAGTTAATCTTCTGTGGGTTTTTTTTTTTTTGCAGAAGATATCTCTTTTTGTAATCATTAAAACTTCATAATTTGCAGAATGTCAAAATAAAATGATTAAAGTGTAACATTTTGCCATGATTATCATATTACCCTTATTTTGGTTGGTTTCATTGTTTACCTTTGTTCCCTGACGTACAGAGAAAGAGCCATTGCCAACAAACTGGTGAGGAAGACGGAGAAGAAGCTAAAGGAGGTGATGATGCAGGCAGAGGACGAGAGGAGACATGCAGACCAGTACAGAGAACAGGTACTGCATCAGCCTCATAATCTCAGAGGAGAGCAATGAAAAATCATGTAATCTGGGTTTAATCAACTCAGCTCGCTGGTCGTTGGTGTTAAATAAAATTGTCCTCAACAGAAATGAATTATCCGGCTAAATCCAAACTAATCCTAATCCTGTCCTAGCGTCTGTATGTTCAAATTAGACTGATTCACCCAATGAAAAATAAATTCCTCACTCAGAGCAGAGACACTGACTCAACCCCCAAAACATCAGCAACAACAATCTGTCATCCTTAATCTGACCTCTGATCCCTATCAATCCTGCAATCCCGCTCTAATCTGTCTTTTTAAATACCTGCCCCCCACTTCTTCTTTTCCTCCAATCTCACCTGAGCCTCTTAAATATCTCTCGTTCACAACCTCCACCGCTCTTCTCCCTTCGCTTCCAGCTGGATAAGTCGATGGTTCGGCTGAAGCAGCTGAAGAGGCAGCTGGAGGAGGTGGAGGAGGAGAACTCTCGCACCAACGCTCAGAAGAGGAAGCTGCAGAGGGAACTGGAGGAGCTCGCCGACAACAGTCAGAGCATGAATCGCGAGATCACCACACTCCGCACCCAGCTCAGGTAAGCAGCTGCGTTTGTGTTTCTACACGAATTGTTTTTTTGGGTTTTTTTTGTTTTTTTTATGTTGACATGTTCATCATTTTGTTTTTGTTTTTAACATCCCATTAACTCGATATGATTTGTTTTACTTTGCTCTTTTGTTGCATCCCTTTTCGTCCATCTAACCCTGAAACATTACTCATCTGTCTGCGTCCAACACTCAGCGACTGACTGGAAACCTGAGAAGTAGGTCACTGTGTGTGATGCTTTGTGTTAATATTGATGTATGTGTCTGTGAGCGGAAGGAAGATTAGATTTAGACTTCATTAACTCATAATATCCATACCTGTGTTTTCATTTGTGTATAATCACATAAAACTGGGAATCACTGTTTTTTTTTTGTTTGTTTTTTTTCATTCACACTGAACAAACCATTTATGACTATAAATACTGCAACATAATGCGTATTGTCAGTCACGTTGTACTGCAGCGGTACTACAGTATACAAGATGACGGATCAAGTAATGCATCTGGGTATTTTATTTTTTCCACATTTTCATTTTAGTTTCTTCTACTTGTAAAAAACGAGTTAATCAGTGATTTGTAGCCTGAAAGTTTGTTGTTACGTGACACTAAATCCAGCTCAAGGCCACTTAAAGCTTGTGTCCAACAAATATGTGCACAACTTTCCGTTCATTCATTTTGTGCATTTGCTTGTTTAAAAGAATAATCTAAGCTTGCAGGAGGTTTTTTTAAAGTTGGATTTAATGATTGGTTGTGCTTTGAAACATAAAATATGCAGCTAGAGTGTACAGTTAAACGCTGCATTATAAAAGCTAAATTTGTGAATTATTTATGAAAAAAATGATCATCTTGTAATATTTGAAGCCTCAACGCAAAATTAATATTTTGTCACAAATGGTGGTTGTAGAAGAACCCAAACACAAGCCCGCAGGAGGAAAGATTATGATGAAGCAAGATTTTAACTACTGAACCCAAGAATTCAGAACGGCAGCAAAACGTGACACGAAACAAATTAAACTGGAAACCTACGTTAAAGTAAACATCATCTGACAAAGGCAGAAGAAAACTAAGAGAATATACTGAATACTGGGAGGGGTGATGAGTGAATGGTCCCAGGACAGGTGTGCTGATTACTAATGGGAGACAATTGGAAGAAAGGTCTTGTGTTGGCCAGGAACCTGACTAGATGACCAGAATACGCTGGAAAATTCAAAGATAATAAAACCGTTTTCAAAAACACAAAATAAACACGAACTGTAACAACTATCTTTGGACTGAAACTGTCTGTTTCCAGACTGTTTTCTGTTATTTTATAACCCAAACAAATGTGTATTTAAAGAATATTTAAGAGAAGTATTAGCAGAATCATTAACTTTTTTTTTTTTTTGTAATCTCTGAGCTGATGTGTAGATCCCCTCCATCTGTTTGCTCATTTCATCTTGTGTTGAAACCCCTCTCGTCCTGTCCAGGCGTGCTCCATTGCCCCTGGCGCTGCGTGGACGCAGAGCCTTGGTTGACGACTTCTCCCTGGAGAACTCCGATTCGGAGGACCCCCCTGCTTCCCCTACCCCCTCCTCTGGACTCTCACAGACTCCTTCCTCAGACCAGAGCCTGGGCCCTCCGCCGCCCTACAGCGTCAGCAACACAGAGTGACCGACACAGACGCAGCCTCGATCTCAGGGGTGGAGGAGCGACACGAACACACTACATTTTAAATTCAACTAAATCATTGCGAACACGTACAACAGGTGCTATAACAATGAAACAACCTCCTGATATGTTCTTTTTTGTCCTCAACAAATACGCAAAACAAACAAAAAAATAATGCCACAACAAGGCAATTTGGTTTTATTTTGGAACATAACAAAGACTAACAACTTCTACATCACACCTCTTTAATGCCAACTAAATCAAACATCTCCAGGTTTAAAGGTGGGAGGTTTTATCAGCTGATTTCATGAAGCTGTGCCATGCATAAAACTAATAAGTTTTCCAATTCGTTCAATAAATACAGAAATCTGATTTTCATAAAAGCCTGCTGAGGATAAATTACGATCATCTAGCCTCCAAGAATAAATAAATGTCAATAAACAAAGCTGCGCATATTTTCTAAGTTAGCATAATAGAAAAAGCAGTTGCTGAGCAATATTTGATCAAACCTGTGTTTAAATAATTGGTAAGAAAGAGGAGTTGTATTAGAAATCTAATTTTATAAATCACCAGTGGCACAAAGGTGATTCAGAAAGCGGCAGCCTTCAGACACACCACTCTACGGCTGATCAGTTCTGTTTTTAGATCAGTGCGATGGTAGACGGACATTAGTGATAGTTTCTTCAACTTAACTCTTTACATATTGCTTCATAAATTTGTGTAATTTATATCAAATGTGAACCTAAGTTATAGAGCGCTCAGTCTCGTGGGGGAAGCATGTGAATCTGAATATTTCTGCTCCTGCTGGAGCTGAAGTTGCATTCATGGACGTCTCGGATTTAACAGATGAATCTGCATGAGCGATTTCTTGGGTTAAAGTCTGCTGTCAATAAGAAGAAAAAAAAACGTATGCTTTTCTATAGATCGTCTTGGATAAGAAGATGACTCGAAACATCCTGGAGAGTCTTATTAATTCATCCAAATTTGTTGTTTTCTTGTTTTGTTTTTTGTCTTAGGCTGATACACACACTGCGTTGTCTGTTTACTGTCATTTTAATTTCTGCACTGATAAATTATTGCTTCTGTTTTTAACCAAATGCTGGGCGTAGGGATGAGAAAAGGGACATGAATATGTAGTAAATAGAGTAGCAGTAGAACAAAGTAGACGACGGGAGCAAAAGCTCGTAGGTGTTTCTGTTATTATCCAGAGAACGAGCCGGAAACCTGGAGCAGAATGAACTCAGCCTCTGCTCAAAGATGTGTAGATGTTAGAGAAACTGAGCACCAGGCTCAGAACTGTTCCATATTCTAATAGTTAGATTAAAAAATGATGGTGGCACTGACAGATGAACTTTTATTAAAGTGTCAGATCAAACTCTTTTCTTTTTAAACTTTCGCTTGCGAGCTCAGAATAACAGAATCTGTGTCATCAACCAAACACAGGCACTCTGATGACCGAGCTGTGAAACCTGGTTTTAAATGTGTTTATTGCACTGTCTGTTTTAACTTTATATGTTTATTTTTTTTAATTTTCGACAAAATGAAAGTTTTTTTCTTTTTTTTTTTTTTTGTGGGTATTTGTCAGAGACCTTCTGTTGAGTTTTCACCCTGTCCAGAGACTCAAAATGAGTTTAACCCAACTCGAATATTAGATTTTTGGGATAGTTTGACCTTTTGGGAACGTCACTTCCTGGTTTTACTGCTACTAGTGAAATGTGAGGATGAGCCGTCTTAATGTCACCACACTGAATGTAAACATGCAGCCAGTAGCCTGTTAGCTTAGCTCTGCATGAACCATCAAACAGTCCAGATCTTAAAGCTTGTCCGTGTTATAATCTTTAACAATAAATTTAAAGTCCGATTATGAATAAAGGCTCAATATATTAAAGCTTTATCAACATTAATGTGCACAATGTCAGCGTTGCAAAGGGCTACTTGGACTGCAATTAGAAAACTGCTTCAGCTAATATTGACAGTGCAACAAAAAACACAAGTGTTTGTTTTAATATTGTGCAGCCTAGCTAGTTTGTGGCTCGGTTCAGTTAGCACTCAGCTAAGAAATTACGCAAATGAGACAAAACCACACTGTTGTTTGCTCACTTTGATTGGTGCACAGTTAATGCCAATCAGTGTTTTAATTCCAAACTCCAGCTGTGCTGCTGGCTGCATGTTGGAGGTGTTTCTCGTGGACTTTAAAGTGGCTCTGATTCTTTTCTGTTCTGTAACGAGAGCTAAAGATTGCAGTGGTGAAATGTTTCGAGAATCGTTCTAAATGTTTTTACTTGTCTGGGTACAAACCTGCATCGTATAGGAGGGGACCATGTTTCCCCTCGGTATCTCGCACGTCGTCTGCAGCTGTTTTTCGGTGATCAGGGTCGTCGTACCTGCTGTCCCGTCTTCCTTCTCTTTAATTTATCTTTGAACAAAAAGTGTGTGGCACACAACAGTCGACTTTTGCGTTTCCACGTCGTCTCTAAGGTCAGGTAGGCCGTGATTCACAGATCAAAATGTCAGAAAACATCGCAAAAGGGTTTAGTTTAGTTTTTACCATGTGTGTATTTTTTTTATTTTTATTTTAGCAATATGCAAGCTGTGTTTTTTAATATTGTGTAAAAGCTGCACTTTACACACTACTGAGATAAAAGCAGCCCAGCTACATCAGCCAAACCGCATCTGCTTAGTCCGGTGGGTTTTCGACAAAGCATTAAAGCCAAATGAGCTGAGATCGCGTGGCGTCGTGACGCAGCCCGTCCCTTTGAACGATTTACTACTTCGTATATCCTGAAAGTCATATTGACGCCCCAAACGTGGCGGTTTTGTTCAAACGGACCAATGACACGAGAACAGATGAGTTTTGTTTACGAGGCCGCAGCTTCTCTGAGATTATTTTGTTTGTTTGTTTATGGATACTGTGGAACCTGAAACATTTTTTGAAAATATGTTTTATTGTTTTAGCCTTTTTGTTGTTGATAATGTAATTATTAAACATCTGACTGGGGTTGACTTTAATATATTTCATTGGTTTTGACCTTTGTGTGTCCGAGTGCTTTGTTGTGCTGAGAACAGCTTTGGTACAGATTTTTATTCACATTATGACACTTTGTTTAGTCTCAGTATTTTATACAGTGATCAAACTGTGACATGTTTTAACATTTTTCATTCAACCTTTATTTAGACAGGTTAATCCCATTGAGCCTCGAGGACTCATTTACAAGAGAGACTTGATTTAACAAAGAATATACATGTACAATATATACAAATATACATGTCAAGCAAATATAAAGACGTCAGTTTTCTGTAAATTTAGACTTTTATGTTAATACCATACTTAACATGTTTTAGTGGAAACATCTGAGATCAAATCATTTTAAATGCTGTATAATTGTAAAATGTTTGTTTTTCGGAAAACAGAAGGTTCTACAATGTGCAAGATGTCTGAAATCTAGCAGCTCTATTACACAGAACTTATTTATTTAAAGGTAACTATTTATCTTTGTTAATATAAAGCTGTTCTATAGGTCTTGCTTATCGTGACTGTGGCAACGACGCAAATTCAAGCTGCAGAGAAACTTGAAGCTCGTATAGACGACCGGAAAAAACTTGTTTTTTTAAGAAAATCTGACATGGCAGCAGAAGTACAGCTCTAATCTCATGGAAACACGTAGGAGCAAATATGACTGGTTTAGGAAAACGCAATGCACAGACAATTAACTGAAAGACATAAATGACAGGAACATTAATGAAGGAGACAAACACCTGTAGAGAGGTGGTAAGGATCAAGTGAGAGTGGGCGGGGCAAGAGCAGGAAAGAACTGAACTGATGACAGGCGAAGCACAAGAAACAGAACTCAAAGATCCCAAAACACATAAACCACAAAGGGAATAATTCTCAATATAAAGTCTTAAGAACTAACAATAAATACTGTAAAAACAGATTGACTGCAGTTCTGAACTGTTACAGCCTCAAGATGGAGACGTGATGAAACAAAAATGTAACCTTCTCTGAGAATATACATGTTTTATCTTTAGTAAAAGTACAAACATGATTTCCATCTTGTACCACTAATTGGGTCGTTGAGGCATCAGGTCCAGGAGAGAAACCCAGACATCTTTCTTCCCATTGACACTCCAGCTCCTCCTGTGGGATCCCGAGGTGTTCCCAGGTCGGAGAGGACATATAATCCCTCCAGCAGGTTCTGGGTCTTTCCTGAGGCTTCTTCCCAGTGGGACGTGCCCTGAAACCCTCCAAAGGGAGGCTCCCAGGAGGATTTCTGATCAGATGCCAGAACTGATACCTTTCATGATTGCTTATGGAGCTCCTCGCTCTCTTTAAGGCTGAGCTTGGCCATCTTGTGGAAGAATCTTATTTCTATCCAGGATTTTGTCCTTTCTGTCATGATCCAAACCTCATGGCCACCATGTACAGACCAGTAAATCCAGAGCTTTGCCTTTTGACTTCGCTCTTTCTTCACCACAACTGACTGAAACAACACACTCATTACTGAAGATGAAGCCCCAGTCTGTTGATCCATCTCCCACTCCACCACTCGGGAACAAGACGCCCAGATTAAGTCAAGAAAATGCTGCCGTCATTTCCTGTTGGTATTACACATGAGGCCTGATCTGTTCGTCAAACACTGAACAGGTGCAAAAAAATAACATTTATTTCAGATATTCTTTATTTCAAGAAGTATACTGTATATTTTAAAAGTTATTGTAAGCTTTGCCATTTTAGTTTCTGGTGATTTGTTTAAATATTTTGCTGCTTTGATTTAAATGGGGGTAGAAATGTGATGCTAAATCTCATTTGCAAACAAAAAAAATTAAACGTTAAGAATATTTTCTTTCATCAGTATTTATTCTAGTTGTAATGAAGACAAATGTGTGATAAAAAGATAAACATTTCATGTAATATTAGGCTCAACCAGTGGTGGTTGTAGCCTCTTTTTTTGGGGGTGCTCAAGCACTTGAACACAGCACCTCTGAAAAATTAAGAAACCATCATTAGGATGTTGTAAAGAAGCTTAGATCTTAAACCTTACATTCACCAAAAGGTTGAATAAACTTATAATAATAATAATAATGGAATAAATGATGACACTCCTTATGGGAACATACAATGATGACAATACATAACGCATTATTATTATTATAATCTGATCTTCTTGCACGAGTCGGATTCTCAATGCCACCTGTCAATCAGTCCAGCAGGCTTGTCAGCAACTGACCAACCAGCGATCTTAATTTGTCCCGAGGTGAAATGCCCCTTACCTGCAGGAGCTGTTAGGATTAGTGGGGATGCGTGAGAGCTCTATTCACACAAGGAGAGCTGTTGGTCAGGCTACTTCTTGTTGCTCTCTAAAATAGTTATTGAATCAAGTGTTTACTTATGTAGGTCAACATAGATGTTTAAAAACTTGTTAAAATACACCAGAATGTAGGAAATGGCATCTATATTCAAAATTTTCTGGGGGAGGACCCTCAGACCCCTGCACCACTGTGTGTCTCCCCCACTCCCACCCACTTCCCCAACCAATGCTTCTGACACCTACAGCCACTGAGTTGTTCAAACCAAGAGCCATTGTCAGCACTGGGGGCTGAGCACCCCTAAAGGTCAGAATCTAGAATCACCCCTGGGCTCAACTCTGAGGATTTATGACTTTGGATCAAGACTTTTCTTCTAAAATAGTAAAAAGACTTTATTTTCCGGGAAATTGACATCCTTAAAAAGATGTTTGTTACCAAAGTCATTTGTGACTCAATGTATG